AGATCCTCTGTCCATTATTTTAATCAAATTATTTGTGGGTTTTTTGGTGTTGTGATATAGAAGTTCTTTATGTTTTTTGGATATTAACCCTTTATCAGATAAATCATTTGCAGTATCTTCTCCCATTCAGTAGGCTGCCTTGTTGCTTTGTTGATGGTTCTTTCACTGTGCAAAAGCTCTTTATTTTGGTGTAGTCCCAAAAGTTTACTTTTGCTTTTGTTTCCCTTGCCTGAAGAGACATATCTAGAAAAATGTTTCTATAGCCGATGTCAAAGAGATTACTGCCTATGTCTTCTTTTAGGAGTTTTATAGTTTCAGGTCTCACATATAGGTCTAATCCATTTTGAGCTTATTTTTATGATCACATTTTAACTAACTATAAGGTTTTTAAAAGTCTCCCATTAGAGGTGCGTCTGGGCGGCTCAGTCAGTTGACCCTCCAACTTGTGATTTTGGCTCAGGTCGTGATCTCATGGGTTGTGAGATCGAGCCCTACGTAGGGCTCCATGCTCAGCGGGGAGTCTGTTTGAGATTCTTTCCCTCTGACCCTCCCCCCATCTCTCTCTCAAATAAATAAATAAATCTTCTTTAAAAAGTCTCCCAGTAGATTATTCTATCAAAAAGCACAATATTTGACTTGGCATTGCATCCCCTGATACCTATGTAAATCCTTACACATAATTTACTCTCAATGTTTGATTGTAAAAAACTGACAAAGCAATTTTAATGAACAGAGAGTTATTTAAACTGCCATTCTATGGATAAAGAAGATGTGGTATATGTACGTACACACACACACACACACACACACACACACACACACACACTGGAATATTACTCTGCCATCAAGAAACGAAATCTTGCCATTTGCAACGACATGGATGGAACTAGAGGGTATTATGCTAAATAAAATAAGTCAATCACAGAAAGATTCATGTGATTTCATTCATATGTAGGATTTAAGAAACACAACAGAGGAGCACAGGGGAAGAGAGGGAAAAATAAAACAAGATGAAATCAGAGAGGGAGAGAAACCATAAAAAACTCTTAATCATAGGAAACAAACTGAGGGCTGCTGGAGGGGAGGGGGTGGGGGGATGGGGTAACTGGGTGATGGACATCAAGGAGGGCACGTGATGTAAGGAGCACTGGGGGTTACATGCAACTGACCAATCACTGAACTCTACCTCTGAAACTAATAATACACTATACGTTAATTAACTGAATTTAAATAAAAAAATAAACTGCCATTCTAAATACTACACAAAAGAACTGTTTAGTTCCATTTCAACTTACCGAAACTCAAACAAAGTTGATTAAGTAGCTGTGTATTCTTTCCATTAAGAAGTACAAGTTGGTCACTCCTGGGCTTAAAATCCTCCATTGAGTCCCCACCCAAGAGTAAAAGCCAACGTCTTTACAAAGACCTAAAAGGCCCCTCATCCCGGACCCTGAACTTGGTCTTCTACTACGTGGCCTCCCTGCCACTCCCTCTGGCTGCTCCCTCCACGCTGAACCAGCTGTGTGTCTCACTCCAGCCCCAGCAGGCATGTGGTGCCCCAGGGCACGTGCATCTCCTGGCCACCTTCCCAGAGACAGGTGCACCCTTCCGGTCTTTACTCACATAGCTCCTTCTCGGAGAAGCCCTCCTTGGCCGCTTCATTACAAAGTGCAGCCCCTACCCTACCTCACTGACCCATCCCCACTATGAGTTCTCTAGTTCCTTTCCCCACAGCACCTATAACCTCCTCATCTACCACATGACTTACTTATCACCTGTTTCTCTGACTGGAGGGAAACTCTGTGGAGCCTGGGATTTCTGTTGGTTTTGTTTGCTGCTTTATCACCGCTCTCTAAAACCACGCCTGGCATAGAAGAGTTGCTTAAAAAATATCTGCTGAATAAATGAATTTCTCTTTAAAATGGCAAACTACACAGAATTTGCCTTTTGTTTAAAAATGCATCTTGGGCACCTGGGTGGCTCAGATGGTTAAGCGTCTGCCTTCGGCTCAGGTCATGATCCCAGGGTCCTGGGATCGAGTCCCGCATCGGGCTCCCTGCTCCTTGGGAGCCTGCTTCTCCCTCTGCTTCTCTCTCTCTCTCTCTCCCTCTCTCTCTCCTCCTCTGTCTCTCATGAATAAATAAATAAAATCTTTAAAAATAAATAAATAAAAAAAATGCGTCTTGCTTTATTATCTTTAACGGGATTAAAACATATAGTTTCATATACCTACTCAAAATATGGCCTGCTGGTTTCTTGATAATAATAAGAAAACTCTATTTTGGTTGCACTTGAGGGATCTCACCACAGAACACGTTCTTTGAGGTACTTAATTTATAGAAGTTCTTCTGTTTACATGTAGCAACACAGTGGAAAGGGTGATGTTACAATAGAGAATCTGAGGCCATGTTCCTGTTTGAGGTTACATTTCAATGTAAACTAAGAAAATACTGATAGGAATTTTAATGACCACAGTTCATGTCTTACATACCAATAAAAGAAGTTTAAAAATTCCTTAGAAGTTATATTAATCACTATATAGTTTTAAACGATGACTAAGTACTAGACCACATATACCCACAATACAAAAGCACATATTTCAGACCATGAACATACAGGTTGTTTTGTAGAAATTTCCGTTGCTATTTCTATACACACAGACTTCACAAAATATCATGTTATTAGTCACTGACCAGTTTTTCTCTTTTCCTTATTTTATGATACAACATCTGTTCTGTATACTGTCAACAATAATTCAGTCTGACCCTTTTCATACTGTGACTAGCTAATTTCTGGAAGCCCTGTCTGGCTTAAGCATATGAAGCTGAAGTACAGAAAAGAGGAAAACAGGTTATAATTCCTTCCTTCCTTCAACTAATGTCACTAATATTTATTGAGTATCTACTATATACTTACAACTATACTTGATAGGATAAAATACTAGAAAACACTCAGTTCAGGTCACAAATGTCCATCTTATCTCTTCTACAGAAAAGGACACTGACTGCACTTTTACAGTACAGCAACAGAAATCCTGGTAACTTTCAAAGACAAGTAAAATAAGGTTTGTGGGCTCATGCAATGATTGCACTCTATGCCCCACAGCATCTCACAGGACAATCACCCCACTGCCTTTTCTTTACATACTTGACCACTCTAATACCAAATAGAAGGTAGATCCCGTTTGCTAGAACATTCACTTTAACTAGGTAAGTTCTTCATTATACAACAATGTTTTACTTAATAAAAAACTATTTCAGGGCGCCTGGGTGGCTCAGTTGGTTAAGTGACTGCCTTCGGCTCAGGTCATGATCCCGGAGTCCTGGGATCGAGTCCCACATCAGGCTCCCGGCTTAGCGGGGAGCCTGCTTCTCCCTCTGACCTTCTCCCCTCTCATAGTTTCTCTCTCTCTCTCAAATAAATAAATAAAATCTTAAAAAAAAAAAACTATTTCAAAAATTAAAAGCCAAAACACACCACGAGGATGTCCTTTCAACAAATTAAGAAGCTTCCTGACAGTGTCTTCTTCAAGTATTCTTCAATCTAAGTTTTAAATAAACTAATTCTAGAATATTTTATCATATTTATCCAGCAAATCATAAAATCTCTTTATTTCCCCCTCAGAATTTTTGCACTAGGAAATATCATGGCGATCATTTACTTAAATACTTTTATTTTATAGACAGTGAGGAGGAGGCCCAAAGAATTGGGTGTTGTTGCTCTTCTGACAGTGTTCCTTTACAGATCTTTAGCTTTTTAGAGCTGAGAAGAACCAAGTACTCTTCTAGAGGGAATGACACCACTGATGGGCTGAAGCCCCTCTGGCCATTTTGACAGATCCTGGAAGTGGAAGATCTGAAGTCAGAGTTACAAATTCCTACCAAAATGATTCAATTCGCTCAGTATCATCCCTCAAAATAGTCAACCAGTTTATGTAGGCACCTAAATAAGAAACAGCCTATTCCATTTTTTTTATGATCCTAACTTTTGGGAACTACCTTCGTATTTTGATTTGAAAGCTGTCTCCGGTAACTTCCTCATACTGGCCTTCTTTCTATTCTCTGGAGTCAGAAGATCAATATCGCAACTCAATCCTTTTCTATGAGACGGCTTTCAAATGCATGAGGATGATGATCACCTCTCTGCCAACCCTAAACATTCTCAGTTTATTCATTCATTTCTCCTAAGACCTGGGATCCACACCCCTCACCAGCCCGGTCACACTGGTCATCCATACCCTTCGTAAAATGCAGCACCCAGAGCTGACTGGGAATGGCCAGATCAGTCCTGGGTTAAGTGTACCTATCACCTCTCTCGTTCTGACCAGTATACTTCTATTCACTTAGCCTACATATAAGTCGCATTTTGATTGCCCTGTTACATAGTTGGTTTAAACTGAGCCAACCAGAACTATAAGATGAGGAGCATAGGTCTCCATTCTATGCACAGACACTGGGTTTTCAGCTGTAAGATGTCCCCTCCAACTCTTCCCCTGTCATTCACGTCCCTGCAGAGTCACAGATTCTGTCAGTTGGCCTCCTGCCTGAAAACACTGACTAGCCCCCGTACAATGCAAAAGAACATCACTCTCCCAGTCACCACAGAAACCTTTGCTTCTTTCTCATAAGCTCTTAAGATATAGAATGAGTAAACTACTCTCTGCATCAAGTTTCCAGGTAGACAGAATTATCACCGTTGACTTTTTTTTTCTTTAAAACATTTTAAAAGCTCACACTTTTATGCAGAATATGGATACAAAATCATTAGTAATTGTCATTCCTTTTTTTTTTTTTCCGGGTTACGGTTTACTGCTTTAGTCTTCCTCTCAAAGAATTTTTTTAATACTTAAATTTTTATTAAAAAACTTATGAAGTTCCACAGATATTACCAAGGGGTTTTTGGATAATTACTCAAAAAAAAAAATCACTAACAGAAAAATTTCACTTCCCATTAAAAAAAAAAAAGTGCACACGCATACATGAGGTTAACTGATCATTACTATGCTCAGTCACAGGGTGACAGAAAAAAAAAAAAAGCCAGCACCATAAAAGGACGCCTACATAATCTCTCTTAACATGCCAAAGTAACCTACTTCAGTTGGGCAAATACTTAACTGCTACTGCCCGGAGGCCCCAACAAGTCAGAGAGGTAAGTACTACATATTTTGTTCTTCTAACAAAGTCTTTTGTAAAATTTTAGAAGCCTAATTAAAGTATAAAGTAAAGGAATAGAATCTACTCAACAGCAACTATAAACATTTCTAACAAAAATTGTATCATTAACATAGTTTAGACTCTCTGATGACTGGCAGTTCTAATTAGCTAATACTGAGGTAGGTGAAAACAATGGATCATGCCGGAAATCTATGCCAAAAAATAGGGTTTACTTTGTACTTCTGTGTGAGCCTCACTACTGCAAAAAACAGTATCCAGTAAAAATCAGTAAATAATGCCAATATTTCAGGATACTTTAGAATGAAGGGAAAGGAACAAAGTTATTTTAAAATGGAGTATTCCTACACTTAAACGCATGTGTATACAAATTATTCAGCACAACTGAAAATAAAAGGGTCATTACATTCTACTATTTGACCGTGTATCTATGTACATAAAGGTCTTTTCTATACTTCTATACTTTCTAGTATTTCTCCGGATAGAATCCCAGTACCAGAATTCCTCGGGCAAAGGGTAAAAATGTTTTTAAAGCTTTATATATAAATTGATGTTTTTTGGTTTACAAAAACATTTTAGCAATTTACCCTCCCACTAGTGACAGTCTGGGCTTTACCGCTTCTCAGCCAACCTGAATATTTTAATTCTAAATATAAACTGTTAATGAGATAAGTGAAAATGAATCCGTTGCTTGCTTTATATTTATTTAATGATCACTAAAGCTAAACATGTAAGAATTTCCATGTTCCTAAAAAAATGTCACAAAACAATGAAGTCCGTGCAGTGATTTGCAGTATTTATGTCCAGGTTGGGAATGGAAGTAATAGAAATTCTTGACAAAACATAAGCTGTGAGGAGACTTCCTCTAAAGGAAGGTGTGTCTGGAGGTTCTGGGGGGTATCGCTCCAAGTACAGTACAGTGCAGCGGTTGGGAGCATAGGCTCTGGAGTCAGGCTTGAACCTGGGCTGGATTATATCTAAGCTGTATGGGCAGCTGGGCAGTCTCTGACTTCAGCTGCTTCATTTGTAAAACGGGGAGTAATAATACAGCCAAGTCCTTGTCACACTGGCTGTCATATAGTAAGTGCTAGAAAACTACTATCATTATTCTCCCCTCCCTCTACCTGTTAAACCACCAAAGGATGAATCCAGTAGGCAGTAGGCAAAGTTTCCTTGCCCTGTCATTTTGTGAGAATTATTTTTCTTAAACTTATTTGCAGATCTTTACAGACTATTTTACATAAAGACTGAGTCTATGGAGGGTATACATCTCATTGTGCTTACCGTCTGGACTCTGCATCTGCTAATATTTCAGTGCATGCTTTCTCTCCGGGACTTAATTGTATGTTTGGGACATGACACTGTAAACAGCACACTGCTGAACAAAGTCTCCTCACTCACAGGCTCACCAGCTATCATGGGGTGGGGGCGGTGGCGGTGGTGGTAATGCCTCTTATAAATTACCTTCAACTGGCTTCCAAGAACTTATTAGTAAGATGGCCAGTCATTTACTGGAATAAATACTACCTCAGATCACTATATGACTTTTCTTCACTTCAGTAATCCACAGGCATTTACTAGATATCTACTGTAGGATGGTTCTGAAACATCTATGGGATAAGATGTCGTGGAAGAGAAAGCCATCATCCTTAAAAAGTGTGCATTTAAAAGAGAGAGCTTCCCATCCTGCAGAGGAGTTTACAAATAATGCTTCTCTCCCTACCATGGGTAGGTAAGGGTAAGGGCCTGCTGCAGTGTTCAAGGCCACAGAGTATGGAGGGTGCTGAGGGTGTGTAAGCCCCTCCAGCCCATATAATTCCTCAGCTTTCCAAGAAGTCTGTAAAGCACAGGGCTTCAATGTCAGATGAGATAATGCATGTGAAAATCATCTGAAAACTGTAGAGTTAACAAAGATCCTTGTGGTGTTTTGAGAAAGCTCAAAAAGAAGAATAAAAATATTTTGTTAAATTTCTACAAATACGGGGCACTTGGGTGGCTCAGTCGGTTAAGCATCGGCCTTCAGCTCAGGTCATGATCCTGGGTTCCTGGAATCGAGCCCCACATCGGGCTCCCTGCTCAGCGGGAGTCTGTTCCTCCCTCTGGCTTGTGCTCTCTCTCTCGCTCTTTCTTGCTCTCTCTCTTTCTCAAATAAATAAAATCTTTAAAAAAAGTCTACAAATACCTAAAAAGTAGTATAAAAATAAATTAACAGCAGAAAAGCTATCCTAGGGGGCGCCTGGGTGGCTCAGTCGGTTAAGAGTCTGCCTTCGACTCAGGTCCTGATCCTAGGGTCCTGGTATGAGTCTGCATGCGGGAGTCTGCTTATCCCTCTGCCCCTCCCCCTGGCTCGTGCTCGCTCTCCAAATAAATAAATAAATAACTAAAATCTTTTAAAGAAACAAAGATTAAAAAAAATAAAAGCTATTCTAGGTATTCACCATCTTCTTTCAGTCCAAAATGTTTTATGGAAATATTGTTAAAAATAGTAAAATCTAAATTCATTTGTAAAACCTTTACTTGCTTTAAAATATGTTACAAGTAAATTAATGAATGCCTTCATTTAAATCAACACATTTCCCTCTTCCCCTCCCTCCTTCCATCTCCCCAGCGCTCCTCTCTAGTTCAGACAGGACGAGTTGGTACATGTTAAAGTCTTCCTATTTTTACCTGGTTTCCTACCAATAACATCAGATCATGTTGGAAACAGGAGCTAGGGATACATTGAAAGTGATTTCTGGAGCCAATCTGCCAGGACTTGAATCCTGACACTTAACAGCTGTGTCTTTAGGCACGTCATGTAAGTGTTCTGGGCCTCCGTTTTACCACTGGATATGGGTTTGTGGAAGTTCTGTGATGATTCAGTGAGTGAATATACGTGGTGCCGAGAACAGTTGCCTGGAAGACAGGCTGGGCTTAATGATACTGGTTACTATTACTAATCAAGAACTCTGATAAAGAACCTCTGACTAAGGAAGGATCAAGAAAGATGGGGCTTTGCTATTCTTTAATGGGTAGCTATTGTGCCTCAGTCATGGGTCAGCTGGAGATATACAAAATTAACAAAGTTCCCACTCACGGGACTTCACTGGCTAATGGGAAACAGAAAAAGAAACTCAACCATACTGATGCTAGTAGAGAGCACAGTGCTCTCACAAGGACACTCCACGCTGTCTTTCTTGGGGGCGGTGACAAGGAAGCAGGAGAGGATAAAATCAGGGAAGCTTCCAGAACAGCTGAGTTTGAACTAAGTCTTGAAGGAAAGTAGGAGCTGAGGATATAGGACAGAGAAGGAACAGTGCCAGAAAGGCACAGAGCTGTGAGAAAACACAGGACATCAAAAAACTGCAAATAATTCCATAAGGCTGGAGCCAGGGCATCAGAGGGAGAAAATGGCCAGGGAGGCAGCGGCCAGTCAAAAGGAAATCATGTGTCCCGGTTGACCGGGGTTCAACGGGCTGCACTCGAAAGGCACTGTGAAAGCTGAAGCCTTAGCTCCAGGGAACAGCAAGGGTGGCCTTAAGGCAGGCAGCTGTTAGCGGGAGTGGTAGAAGGACAGGCAGATGGACAGACAGACACACGGTGCAGAGGAGAGGTCGAGTGCAGGAGAGTCAGGAGGCTGAAGGCACAGGAACCGCTGATGGGAGCTGGTGGGTGAGGAGGGTGAAGAGTCCTGGACACCTCTGTGACTCCTAACTTAGGACCGAGACCAAGGGAGGGCCCCAAGCAAATGACCTAATCTCTGGAATTCTGTTTATCCACAAGATAAGGATTTTCAATGTTTCTGACTAATTTCCATGAGATAAGAGACAAACAACAAAACCTGAAACTCCCTTGAACTTTAAGGAGAAAAGGCACACATGACTTCTAGAAACATTTTGAACTCAGAGGATAAAGGTTCTGCAGACTCAGATCTTCACTATAAAATCTTTTTATATTACCCAGTTATCCTACTTATAGGTCAAATCAAGCCACATGGAAACACGGTATTTGTCTTTCTCACACTGAAATGAGTATTACAGTGGGATTCTTTTTTCTTACAGTTTCCAAACATTACGTCCTATAGCCCTAGTCCTTTGTATTACCACCTCCTCTGTCTTCATGTTCGGTAACTTTCACACCATCCCAGTCAGTACTAAAGCTGCCAAAAGCCACACAAAGAAAATCAGTGAAAGGTGGAAGAAAAATAGCTGGAATATGTGAAACCCCAAATGTGCAAGTGGGTGTTTAATCCACTAATTTGAACGTCAGGCCCCTTTCCCATCGATCTCAACATACGTGTTGACGGAAGGTGAAGTGGTCTTCTTCAATGCCTATTAGGGGAGGACACCTCAGACACACAAAAAGCAAACTACAGACTGGCGAACATCGTTGTTGTTTCCTGTCTTCAAGAAGTTTTCCGTGCCCTGTCCTGTAACTGACCCTCTGCAGACCTACCGAGAGGTGGTCAGAACCAGCCTCGGCCATGGGGCCAGCGGCAGGGTCACACTTGCACAAGCCAGAAAAAGCGGGCTCCCCAGGAGGCAGGGTAGGGAGGTCCCCTCACACAGACTGACCACAGACAACTCAACTCCAAACACACTCTGGCACGTGTGGGGCTCTATCCCAAGAAAGTGCAGGTGGCTGCCAGTGTGTCACCTTCTGGGAAAATGTTCCCTAGATCCTTCCAAAAATGAATCTTGACCACAGTCACAGCTATCAAAATAGGACTCAAAGCTGGTTGGGAAAAAAAAAAAATCACCTGATAGTGTAGGATGATTTATTTCACTAAGTTAACTGGGCGCGTACTATTATGAGCAGCTGAGCAGCAGCTTACCAGAACAGACCATCTGACTTGGCCAATGAAATGACAAGAGGCTGGTCGCAGCCTGTCTGTGCCTTGGGTTTCTGTCCCACAAGCAGGAATTAATGTTTCCCACCTGCCTACTTGACAGGCAAATGGCCCACACAACCGCTCCGGTGATGGTTGTTTAGTCAACTAAAA